TACCAAAACAAAAGAGGAGAGAAACTAGTTTTTAGGCATAAAAATACTAAATGATTTGCTATCACAAAAGACCAAAGATCTGAAAAAAACTTACTTGAGCAAGAATGACAGAATGTAATTAACGAGATAAAGAACGACTGACGTTCCACATGTCTAATCCTTTTACACATGTACGCAATAAGGGTGACCACTGCTACTATCTGTAGACAAAGAGATACTGTCACCATAACTTGGATGATCAAAAACCAAACTAAAATTAATCCGATTCACGATGAATACTTAGGTAACTTAAACGTACATGGAACCAAATCCGTGAATATTTTTCGCATATACGGAGAAAGAATCCACCAACAACCGTAGTAAGAAATCATATTGGGATCTAGACGTTGCACAAAACCATTGACACAAAATTCCCACAATCCTAAGCGGATAAAAGGTGTATGAAGTCTAGGCCATGATTGTAACCAGTATGGAGTAACGAAAGCTATGAGCAAAAAAGCAAAGGCTGCGTAGGTTGATATGTATGCAGTACGATATCTGCATTCAGTGAATGGTGAATGCTTGATTCTATGTTTGATTCTCATGCGGAAACCGACCTATTGAAAGAGCACTTACAAACGAAAACAACCGTGAAACAGTGAAACAAAATAGTTTGCGATTCCGCATATAATAAAAAACAGACTATTTTTAGTTACACACAAATATTGTGATAAGAATTTCAACAACAATCACTAAAAAACTGTGATTTTGAATGTTCAGTAATTCAGTTTTTGATTGAGATCATGAATCTATTGATGTTAGACCACCGTTGGAAACCTGGAATGACATCAATCGATTCATGATCTCAATCAAAAAACTTAACAATCTCCACAACTCCCATACTGGCAATTCAGTTTTTATTGTGACTGTTCAACATTCGTCACAATTTTTCCTCCACTTGTTTTGGCTTTAGTCTTAAACATAAAATGTGCTTGTTGAAGGACTACGCTTCCCTGAAATTTTTTGAGCCTATTCATATATTGCAGGAACGATTTTGAACATCATTTTTCAGTAATAGTGTTGTTAGATTGACTGATCTGTGTTAAGATTCTCACTGGCTGGTGTTGACTCGTTGTTGCACTTTCACTGGGGTTTGTCCTTAGACCTTATCACTACAAATGGCCTATAAGAAGCATCCTGCTGACTATAACCTTATGGTGATTATAGAGCTTTTGACAGCTGGCTTGAGTAATTGTAGATCTGTAGCATTATGGTCTAATTCGATGTTAGTACACTTATCCTTGCTGCTATAATAATAGATATAATCTCAAAATCGTAGGTTTTTCATGATGTGGCTACCTAATCTAATACACGGGAAGTGAGTAATATGTCTATATGATGTTCGAATGAGTTGGTTTCCAATCTCACCTAAATTAATAGGCTGACTTTAAAAAAATATTATAACGACGGGGAGGAAGAATTCCAACTGGTTTCCCAGTTAGTTTGTTAAGTTTGATACCGTTTACTTAGTCACAAGGAGATTTGCTCGACTTTTTTATTGCTTCACCGTGATAGGATTTAATAAAACTTGAAATATATATGAATTGTTATCAAAACTCGTTGTATTGCGTTGAAATAGTAGTAAACACGTGAATTTTGGATAGAAAGCTGTTAGTACTTAATCACATATCCGTCAGAACATGGGCTAGATGAAATAAGCTCAAGCAGTCATCTCTTAATTATTCCATCAGAAACGAACATCGTCTGTTCTGCTTTTCTCCCTCTCATTTTCAGCAACCTGATGGTATTCTCTCAATAACATATGTATGGAACATATGACTTCGCTCTGCGCCTTCATTATTACTTATGACATTCATCTGGAAACATCATCAAAAAACACAAAATAGTGCGTAAATGTTGGTGTTTTAAAATGCCTTGTCATGCAGTCATCACGCTGCTTCTTGCTATAGACATTTGCATACTTTCTCAATCACTATTAGCTTGTCGCGAAGAATCCTCCAAAACGTATTCTGAAAATTAAAGCCTCATTAACTTTCATATTCTAATTTACGAAACATTATACTCCTGTTCTTATGATCATTGTGTCATACAACGTTTCAACCTAACTGAATAATCCATTATAACAAATCCCATAGCATTTACAACTTATTGATCTTGCCTGTAAACTGGCATATTTTTTGGTAACACATCGTTATTCGAGAATAAAGTATTATCGTTAGTCTGGATGAAAAGCTAACGAACTAAAGTTCATTCGATAAAGTCGAACTACCTCCTTCTTCGTAAAATACAAATCCTTCTTGAGTCACTCGTTTTTAATTATATCAATACGCAGACTCTGCCCTCGATTTAAGCGGATCTAACTCCATGTAAAAATTATATTGAAGTGCATAGTGCCTCAAAATGATCAGCCTGCGCTATGCAGTCAAAGGTCTCTCTGGTACAAAATAGAGTAATAAACAGCAGATCGAGCGGTTAGCAAATAAGCGTCTGATACTTGAGAGTCAGTAAACGTATTTCCAACAAAGTGTGATAAAACATATCTTTGTGCATGGATTCGATAAACCGTTATAATCAAAGGTCTGTATGATCTAGGTTTACGGCTCTATTAGTGAAATTATCTATGCCACCGAAATACTACACTTAGTCCAACATTACAGACCTGGCATAATATGACTACCTAACCTTTAATATTTTACGACTAAGCCACGTTATTGTCTGTACTGTCGCACATATCATGTAAGTTAGTGAAATTTCTTTCAAGAAACATTGCTGAACACATTCACAGTAGTAGTGGAATAATATGTATAAGATAAAAACAAGACGTTACGTAGAGTTACCACAACCATACGGCTGAACCATACCGATTATATTTAGTATTCCTGGATAGGCTTTTCCGACCTTCGAGTGTTGAACGTCCCATTTAAGTTTTCTTAGTTATATTATGTTCATTCTCAAGGGTTTCGTGAGTGATGACAAATGTCACCACGTGTCAATATTCACCACTCTGACCATTATCTAACCTCGAGTTTAGTGGAAAATAACCTTATTGTCAACGGTTTGTCACCATATAACAGCAAGAAAGGCATTGTTCAGAGTCGGATAATAAAACATTATCTTAAAATAATTAGGAATATTAGTATATGGCAACAGAAGCCCGGAATAACAGTTATTATGTATAAAACAAGCAGGGAAAATCATGACTTTTAGAAGCATTCATTTTGTTACACGTGCTCCCGGCAAGCCAGAAATATTATTATGAAGTTCAAGAACAAAGTAAGTCGCCCCTTGAGTGCAGATAGTCAACCACAATCATTCAGCTACGCAACCACTGAAATATACGATTGAGTCGTGTGAAAACAAAGACAGTTGGCGGAATGCCACAAAATGGCGTAGAAATGTTTCAAAACCAAAATCAAGGACTGAGAAAGTAATAACAGCTCAATTTGAATAAAAAATCATTTATGACACGCGGAAATGAGGACATTTGAGGAAACAAAGTCAACTTCAGTGGTAAACAATGCTTTATTTTCATACAACGTACATACAAGGAAGATGCACACAGATGCGTTCACACATACCTAAGGAAGTTCGTAACATTTACTTCAAGGAGATTCCAAAGGAACGAAGATTATTTACCTTACTTAATCCGCGTGACTCATCATATTGCTGAGTATACTTATGTTGTTCATTTGAAGTAGGTGATTCTTTCGTGCCCCTAGGTAACCATTGTTCTATTGATAGAAGAACCCAGACCAGTATTGAATAGGTCTTTATTTAGATCGCGTGGCAGTCACCGTGGAGCCGTGGATTTCTTGATCATACACAAAAAGCTTTTCAACATTCAATATGAGATAATAGGAAATATAATGTCTTTACAAAGTTAGAAAATGAATGAATACTTGAGCTTTGTTGTTTTGAAATATACTTAGTTGTTTGAGTTCGACTCTCAACTAGTGAACCCAAGCTCTTACATTAACTTCCTCCCAGAATCGTGTTCTGTAGGAACGTCGGCTCGATCAACCTATCTATCACGAACATATACGTTCTGTTTCTACAGCCCAAAGGATAATTATCAACTCGTTCAGTGTTTGGCTTTCAATCAACGACGACCGACTCCGTCGTTATTCGACGATTGTCCATGGATGTCTTTTCATCTGTTGGCTTGTAATCTTATAGCATTCAATTTCTTCTGCGACTACCGCTGATGGTTTACTACATACCCTCTATATGGTTACCAGAGCTTGTAAGAGAAACGAGGGTGGGGAAACGAAACCAGAATAAATAAAGAAGTGAATGGAAACATGAGCTCTATTGTTTTGGCATATACTTAGTCGTTTGGGGTCGACTCTTAACTGATTAACTTAAGCTAATAAATTCTACTCAAAGAAAAACAGGCGAGTGGTAGCGTTAAGAATTTATTCTAAACAGTTAACTGGTGAACTGACAATTCTGGTTCATTTCTGTCGTGCTGGATGCTGTTATCCTGTACCTCTTCCGAATCCATATAATTCTCAAAAGTCACCTGACATCTGCTTGACCAGAGTGTAACAAGTGTGGGAGCGAGCACTTTTTTAGTTGGCACAACCTTGGGATCCAAAGATTGTCTTGTGAGCTACTGCTAAGTATCATAAAGTAGGTTCTCAAGATCCAGGATTCTAGAGTTCAACAAACATATGTATTCCTTCGTTGAAATAGTTTTTGTTCAAAACATTTTCCATTGAAGTGAGCTATGAGTGAAGTTTATTCTTTATAGACGATGGAAGTCATGTCATTACCGTCGACTGGTCAATTTAACGGAAATCTGAACACATGCAGAGGCATATGAAGTTATAAATAACATGGGCTTTTGCACTTTTATTCATAGATGGAGCATATAACTCTGTACCTTGGATCTTATCGGCAGAAACTTGAAGGTGTGCTAATACCGCGAGTCGAGAGCACAAAGAAACCAATAAGTTTACTCAAGTCTGTCAAGAAGATATTAGATATTCAATACCGACCCGGGCTTTCTGGTGACTGCGCTACGTTATGTAGAACAAATGGACTGTATGTTAGAAATCTAGTTAATTCTTTACTCTCCATCAAGTCTTGCTGACAGAATTCATCGGCAAAACGACATTAGTCTTGCTTCATATGCGTACATGGGACTAAACGGTTACCATTCTACCCATCAATACAAATAAATGCTAAAGTTAGACGATCATATGACTCATGAGTTAAAAGACACATTTCAAGATGTATCTGCATCTAGTATTGAAAACCGAAACTCGGCCAGTCATTCTCGCCAAAATCTTGCTGGTGGATCTGGAGTTTTTGCAAATTTCTTCGAAGAAATGGCCGAACCACTTTCTTATCAATCCTCAAATCTCATTGATGAAAGGCAGAGTACTATATCTACAGAGGACTGTAAAATCCAAACACAGAGTAGCGAGGTGAAGGAGGGCAGTTCTCCTATGCTGCGTGATGAGATTAGTCCTATGGAAGCTTTCTACGGTGATAATGCAGATGACGACCTGAAAATTCTTGAACGATATCGTTTGCTCGTTAATTCTTATTCTGATTCTAAACCATGCCAAGATGATGAATCTCAGGTAACTCGTTGGGAGTTTTGCTTTTCCCACGGTGGTAGTTTTAAGTCTTATATACTGGTGATGCTAACAGCATGTATCGGTGAGACTATAATTTATGGACGACCTTTGAGCAGTGCTAATGTAACCTTAAGAGTATTCACATACTTACTAGAGGCAAGAACGTTCGTAATTTAGTATGAGGCATCGGGACTATGATTCGTCCATAAATTATAGTCTCGCCCTGCCTGACAAATTTTAGAAGAAATTTAAGAGACGAGAAAATTTCACACTTTTACAGTCATTAGTATGACTTTACCCTTGTATCTGGAATGGACTTATCTAGGTTTTGAAGCATTTCAACCGACCTTTTTAGTATGACGGTATCTAAAGGAACAATTGTCTAAGGTAGTGTTACACAATCAGATCATCCTGGTGGACAAACTTCACTACTGCATCTTGACTAAAGCTATAGTCGAGTGGTTGGTGATCTTTAGTGATATAATATAGGTTGTACATTTTTTAAGTAACCGTATACAGTCTCCACCTAGTGGTGTTCATCCACCGATTTCGACTGTTCTATTTAGAGATACGCTACTTAATTTGTTTTCTAATGTGTTTGAAATGATTATTCAAGTTCATTTGGTTTTTATTCTTCCCATTCACCTTTATTGTGTTGATTTTTTACATCGCAAATCGGATTAATACACACTTATTTAGGGTCAAATAGATTTATAGAAATATTCTAAAAATAAGTATAATGCGTAAGATGTAGTGATGCAACATAGTTGCTTAGATTTAAGTAAAGGAGCAAGGTCCGAGCCAGCAAATCAACACTAAAACCCGTATACTCCGACTGTTCAGCTACCGTTCTACTAAGCTATTAATATTTTATATGACCGGCGGTTTTTATCTAGCAATTAAAGTAACCGATAAATAATCACTGGATTATAATTTCTGAAACGCTTTAAGTACCTCAACTTAATTGGTTGGTTATGATTGTCTTTTATATAACAAATATGTAAATCTGTAATCTGGTACATAGTTGAATTCTCTTGAAATTGTCTTCTTCACATTGATAATAGAAATAGAAATATTTACTCTGTTTTTTTCTTTCTCAAACCATTAAAGCTGAGGCAGTTATCTCATGATGATACACTAAAACGTGGTGGACTACCACATGGCGTAACAGAATACAATCCAACTGATTTAAGTAGCCCGTTGTGTATGTCATACATACATAGAAGTAAACCACCTAAAGTATTAGCCAATCGTTTTCTGCTTGGTTCTACAATTGGACGAGGAAGTTATGGAAAGGTAATTCCTTTATGATCGTTATTTAAATTAGTTTGGTAGCATTTGTTCTTTTTAATTGCAAGTTACTTTCATAAAGTCTACTTTAATTTTGGCCTAGATTATTTTCTGGAAATAGATCTGAAAGAAGTGCTTGATGGTAATGTCGATTTGTTACTTAAAGAAGGGATTCCAGATCTTTCATATGTTCACCACATTGTTTAATTTTGTAATCACTGACTTATAGATCAAGGTAGAGGTACTTAGTTGATAAATGTTGTTTATACGTGTTGCATGTACTGTGGAGTAACGAAGCGTAAACTACTTCTAATAGACCAATGGGGATCTGCGTGTATGTTCACTCTTTGTGATGATCTGTTGGGATTAGTTAAGAGGTTTATGCATCTAGATAGCTGAGTGAAAAATGAAATAAACCAATGTATAATAAACTGAATAACAGTGGATACTGATATGGGTCATCTTTCAAACCATAAGTTTAACCATAAAAGATAGAGTACACAACTCATTGGCGCTGTCAGCTCTACAGTTTGTTTTCAAAATTCAACTTCTCAACAATGGGGAATATTCGTTGTTTGTATTTGATCATACCCGACCGTTGTTGCTACCTTGACGTGGTGGTCGGGCTTGCCTATCGTGATGAAGCAACCGAGCTATACTGACTGGAACAACCGTTCCTCAAGGTCCTACCATGTCAGACAGGTCGGTTGAAGAGCGGTAAGACTAAAAGCAACAAACCCAAGGTCCGAAGGCGAAGTCGTACTGCTGACTGTACAGAGGTGTGACAGCAGTAAGGTGTTTCCTTCAGACAACCAGCATGACAGCGATGCTGCCTTCCCACAAGGAGGGGTGGGGTTAGAAAAGGTCGACCCTAAAAATGCACACCTCACCTTACCTCACGGATTTCCGTCTCCGGCGGTAAGGCCCTTTGAAGAACGGAGCTAACACGTCGAAAACCTTCCACGAAAAGGCCGTGCGCGACCGGCCTCAAGCAGCTGTCCCTTGGGCACTGCGGTCACGCTCTCAGGTCACTGAGACCACCTCTAATCCGATTTCCTTTTCAGGTACCTCCAGAAGAACCCTTCCACGGTGTGGGCAACCGGGAAGTGATAGCCGCCCTCATACCTCTAACAGCACCCAAGACCACTGTATTCATAATCAACCTTCCTCTTCAATTCCTATTATTCCTCCCACATCGACTTTCAACCCTAAACTTCCTCCTTCGGCTTCCTCCTCAAGTGTCACCATAGCCAACGATTCTAGTGCTCAAAACTCTGTCCCAGGTCTACTGAAACCTCGCTCCAAACTACACATTGGAGCTTTCAACGTACGCACTCTATGTCAAATCGGTCAGCAGGCTTCCTTGGCTAAAACCCTAGAGTCTCTTTCCATTGATGTATGCTGTGTCTCTGAAACACGCATACAGGATCCCAGTGTGGTCATTCACTTGACCTCACCTCGGCAGAACGGAGAGCCAACGAGATACACCCTCCGTGTATCTGGTGACCCGATGGCCAGTTCTCGTGGACTGGCAGGTGTAGGCATAGCACTAAGCATGAGGGCCGAACAAGCACTGCTAGAGTGGATCCCCGTCAACAGTCGTCTATGTGCTGTTCGGCTGAACGGCTACGTAAGAACTCGGAAGGATAGGGACACACGTCGTTGCCTTTTTGTCGTTTCTGTCTACGCTCCCACTGACTGCAGCTCAGATGAAGTAAAAGATGAATTTTACAGAAAGCTTTCTGAACTTCTTCAGAAAGCTAAACGCTCAGACATAGTACTCGTAGCGGGTGATTTTAATGCTCAGATAGGTAGCTTAAACCAAACAGAAAGGCATTTAGGTGGATATTTTAGTATTCCGACACAGCGAACAGATAACGGTGATCGTCTGCTGCAGCTATGCTCAGACAATCGTTTATTTTTAGCAAATACAAATTTTAAGCATAAGGAGAGACATCGTCTAACATGGCGACCCCCTACACCAAACCAACGATGGACTCAAATAGACCATATTGCCATCAGTCATCGTTGGAGAGGGTCGGCACAAGATTGTCGCTCATTCTGGAGTACCTGCTTGGACTCCGACCATGCCCTAATACGGGCACGCATCTGCTTGCGCCTCACTGGACGCAAAAAAGCCACATTAAAAAGACCCGTTAGAACTGAGTTGAGTAACGAGAAAACCAAAAGTAGGTTCCAGGAACAACTGAGGTCACACTTAGGTAGTTGTGAAGACGAGGCTGACCCAGATGTTGCTTGGAAGAGCATACAATCAGCTGTGGAAACAGCAGTGACATCTATTAGTGACTTAAACCACAGAGTTGCAAGGAACCAGTGGATTTCTTCAAGGTCTGTCACACTGATGGATTCTCGCAAACTCGTCCCATCAGGTTCTGAACATGATGAAGAGCGAAAACAAATCAGATCTAGGTTAAGAAAAAGTCTAAGAAACGACCGTGAGCAGTGGTGGGTAACGAAAGCAAAAGAGATGGAAAAGGCGGCGACTATAGGGAACACAAGACAGCTTTACAGACTAATAAAAGAAACTGGAATTAATAAGTCAAGTGTAAGTGAGATTATTTCGGAAAAAGATGATACTCTCATCTGCTCCCAGTCCAGACGTTTAGAACGATGGGCGGAACATTTTAGAGAACAGTTCAGCTGGCCTTCAGCTACTCTACAACTACCCTCCATTCCCAGACAATGTGAATGGAACATTGAAGTAGGTCCCCCAACTCTTGCTGAAGTTCAAAAGGCTATAGTTAATCTGAAACGAGGAAGGGCAGCTGGTCCAGATGGATTGGCTCCAGAGGTCTTTAAGGATGGTGGTCCAATTTTAGCGATTAGGTTGACTAATATTTTAGCTAAGATCTGGGAATTAGACTTTATCCCATCTGACTGGTCGCAATCACTCATCGTCCCAATATATAAGAAAGGGTCAAAATCATCCTGTGACAACCACAGAGGGATTAGTTTAACAAACATAGTATCTAAAATACTGGCCTCGATAATTATCAGACGCCTAACTAAGACTCGTGAACTACAAACTCGAGAGAACCAAGCTGGCTTTAGACCTGGTCGTGGCTGCATCGACCACATATTCACCATTCGTCAGGTTCTAGAACACAGGCATACCTATCGGCGTCCGACGATGGTGGTCTTTCTTGACTTAAAAGCAGCGTTTGACTCTGTAGACCGCGAGACTCTGTGGCAGTGTCTGTCATTGAAAGGCGTACCTCAGAAGTACATAAACCTTGTGAAGGCTCTTTACTCGAACACTACTAGTCGAGTCAGGGCTTATGGCGAACTGTCATCTACTTTTGCAACTTCAAGTGGTGTCCGTCAAGGCTGTCCACTTTCTCCATTTCTGTTTAACTTCATCATAGACCTATTGATGGAAATAACACTCTCGTCGACTGAATTCTCGGGTATTGATCTCCTTCCAGGAGGTCCACTTATCGACTTAGAATACGCAGATGATATAGTCCTGTTTGGTGAAGACGCTGACAAAATGCAGAGTCTTCTGGTAGCACTAAGCAACAATGCCAGAATGTTTGGGATGCGCTTCTCTCCCTCTAAATGCAAGTTGTTGCTTCAGGACTGGTCTGCGTCAACACCTGAACTAAGGATAGGGAGTGAAGTAGTCGAACGCGTCGACAACTTCACTTATCTTGGAAGTCTGATCAGCCCTAATGGGTTGGTGTCTGACGAAATCTCAGCACGGATTCGAAAAGCTCGTTTGGCTTTTGCCAACTTACGTCACCTTTGGCGGAGGCGAGATATCCGTCTATCAATTAAAGGACGAGTTTACTGCGCGGCAGTCCGTTCTGTCTTACTTTACGGCAGCGAAACATGGCCTTTAAGAGTAGAAGACACCCGTAAGCTACAAGTATTTGACCACAGATGCCTTAGAAATATTGCTGGCATCTGCTGGGATCACCGGGTAAGTAATAGTGAGGTTAGACGCAGGGTATTAGGGAATGATGGTAAATCAGTTGATGAGGTTATGAATCTTCATCGACTGAGATGGTTGGGCCACGTATTACGTATGCCTGAACACCGATTACCACGACGTGCAATACTAACCGGTGTAGGGGTTGGTTGGAAGAAAGTTAGGGGCGGCCAAACCAAAACGTGGCATCAGTGCTTGAAGTCACTAACTTCTAGTCTGAGCCATGTTGGTAGATGCAGACTACTTGGTTGGGGTCCGCGTGACTATCGTAACCAATGGTTGGAGACTCTTGGTGACATGGCTCAGAATCGATCACAATGGCGTCGGTGTATACACTCCCTGTCTTCCCTTAAACTAAGAGATTAAATCACTTCATATCTTTCTTTCCACGAACTAATTCTTCCTTCCTATACTATATCCTTATTGCAACCTTTGACCTAACCACTCCTATGAATCCGGTGTTCATCTTGTTGTGCTAATGAGGTATGGCAACCTGGACCGATGCACATATGTGCCTGGTCCGACGTTGTAGCTGACTGACTGACTGACTGATTTGATCATTCTTATCTATAGGAAACAAGTTTCATCCATTGTCAAGACTACATAAGTTATGCTACGTGCTAACAATATGTGTTTAAGTACAACAAAAAATATTTCTAAGTGAATAATACTATGTTCAAATAAAGTCTTCGGTGGCTTACATTATATACTTTCATACGGTACACTTTACAGACACTGAATTGTATGAAAAAGAAAAATGGCCAGTTAATGGTCAAATACTTGGTTAAATTTGTTAATTCATCAGACCTTCAATAGGAGTCATAGAAGTTGTGCAATTCATTCTCTCTGAACGTTATTGAACATGGTAATAAATATTTTTTTGTCATATCCCGATGAGGAGAAATAAAATTTTTCTACTCATCGGGATAATAACAAAAAATATACTTAGACAGGGGTTTTGTGGATATTATGGTGATTTAATAGTTGGATTCATGAGTCAATTGAAGCTGAATCACCATGAAAAACGTGGAAGCACTGGGCGACCGTTTCGTCC